ACCAAATTATAAGTGGCCGACCCAAGTCAAACTTGTTTGTGCAACAATGGCAATTCATAATTTCATCCGACGAAATGAGCTCCGTGATATTGCATTTGACTCATATGATAGATTCACAAATTATGTGTTTAATGAAGAGGAAGGATCTTCGTCTTAACAAGCACGCTATGGAAATTATGTTGTATGTGATGGCAACAAGATGGAAGTGAGGAGACATAATATTTGTATGTTAATTTGCAGATGAAATTAGGAGTTCTTTAAATATCTAAGAAGTTTTATTTTTATTGCCTTAATAGTAATTTATTGTATTTTTATTGCAATGACATTTTTTTATTCCCTTGTGAACTTAATATTAAAAAAAATAAAAAATAAAAACATGAGGTAATGAAATGTACCAAATTAGGTACTAATTATATCAATTTCCATTAACAAAATAACTTTTTCAAAATTTAAAGTGAAGAAAGTAACAAAATTATAATTTTTATGTTCATAAGGGCAAAAATGACAATTACATAGCAAAAAGCTATTTTACAGTTTATTTACCAAACACTACTCTGCTACTTAAATCCATAATCACACAGCTGCACCAAACAGGTTACCAGCTTATGTTCACAGCTGTAAGTTATAATCTGTTAAGTTATAATCTATAATCACTTTCCCACAACTTTATCAAACGGAGCTATAACCTATTTTAACAACTACACCAAACGGGGCCAATACATGCATGGAGCATCCCTTTTTTTAAGGTTTTTTTTTTGGAAAGTGGGTTAAAAGTTACTTTCTAGCTTTTAACTTATTTTTGGTCATATTATCTCTCACATTTTTTACACGTTTTTTTAAAAAAATTTAAAGAAGCTAAAAAGTTAACTTTTAACCATATTCCCAAAATAACCCTGAGAGGAAGATATAGTGATATGATTGAATAGTATTAGGTGCATAGTAGGGGTGACTACAGATGAGGCTGATGGTGTTTCACGGTCCATCAAGCTATCAAAAATTTGTACATTTTTATTTTTTTTAATCTAAAATGTTTCAGGCCCCCCTTTTTCCCCCACCCCCTTTGACCCCTTCTCTCTCTCATTGGTTACATTTTTTTCCCCTGCTCCTTCAATCACCACCTGCCACGTGTGTGTGGGGGTGGTGATTGAAGGGGGTCTCTATCATGGCACTTTTTTTATTTGTATTGTAAATATTTTTTTTTATGAATTTTTTTTTATATACTTTCATTTGGAAACAGGCTATTTTAGTAATTTTTTTTAAACTTTTTAGCTAAAATATGAGGTAAAAAAAACTTGTATATTTAGAATAACTTTTTGATTTTTTACGAAAAGTGTGCCAAAAGAAGAAATAAAAGAGAATCTTTGATTTTTTTGGTATAGATTATAGACTTTTTGATTTTTTTATTAATTTTTTGACTTTTATGCTAGAACTATTACTTCCCAAACGAGGCCTTATATTCTAATTAATTCATGAAATATTTTTGTATTTTAATAAATCATATTCATTTGAGATTTAATTTATTAAATTCTAATTCTCATATTTGAAATAGAATTACCCCTACTTTGTGTGGGAGCATATCAGTTAACACCTCTACCAATTATTTATGTGTAGTGTTGGACACATAAATTATATATAAGGCCATCTCCAACGTTTAATCAAATCCATCACCAAATTTAAATTTAATGAAAAAGTACACTTTTTTGGTCTCCAATAGTTTCATTAAAGTTGTATCAAATTGAAAACATGTCAACCCTTTCATCAAAGTGAGGACCTGGGCTAGCTTTCACCACGGAATGACTGGCTGGAAGTCCGGCCGGTTACCTTCTCGGTCATCCTACGCCTTTGGTGTAATGCCCTTTAGTCCAATTGTTTATGGCCCCGAACTGATCGAAAACGAAGTTATCGGGCCGAAAAATCTGGTCATAGGGTTCGGATCTGACGTTGTCCATAGTACCCGGCTTGTGATCCATAAGAACGGCTCGAGGAACGAAGCGGCCACAGCTAGCCTCATTGTAATAGACATTGACTAGCTTGAGTTGGAGATTTGAGTCGCCGAGGTATTGGCTAGTGGGGTCGATGCCGTACTCGGCTCAGACCACTTCCCAGAACTTGGCACCAATTTGGTTGCTGCATTGGCCGCCATGAACGTGAAGAATTTCATGCATTTTTGGGTGAGAGAGAGAGAGAGAGAGAGGGAGGATGTGAGAGGGTTGAGAGAAAGGAGAAAGAGAGAGGGGCTGAGGTTGAGAAAGAGGAGAAGAGAAGAAGAGAGCGGGTTATGTATATATATGTGTGTGGAGAGCAACATAGAAATACAGAGATGAAAATCAAGATTGAGAGGGGAGAGAGACAATTTTTTTTTTTCATTAGCTCTTGACTATCAACAGGTTGGTGAATTTTTTTTTTTTCATTTGCTCTTGCCCGGTTGACCGGTCAGTCGTCTCCCAAGACAACTTGTGTTTTGATGATAACTACAAATTCATCGTTGGAGTGACTGATATCAGATAGAGGAATTCGTACTTTTTTTACTCAGATTTGATGAAATATTTGATGAACCATTGGAGATGCCCTAAAGGTTAACTTATACAATTTCAAAAATTGATATTAAAATTCTAATGAAATTCTATTTAAGTTGTTAAACCATATAATTTCAAAAATTGATAACAAAACTCTACTTGTTGTCCGTAATCAATTACGTTGTAAATAATTTTTCTATAAAAAATGATAATTGGTGAAGATTAGATATGGCAGTCTTCGATTTATTAGAATAAAAGTGAAATAAATTATTATTTTATTAAAACATCTATTTTCACATTCAGTTCCTACATTTGATTGATTGCAATAAAATGAAATGGTTATTCCATAGGTTTCTTTATTAAATAATTATTATTTTATAATGGTAAATGACAATTCATTTTATATTGTATTTTTCATTATTTTTTTATTCAACTAAACATAGGAATGGATTTCTTGTTGGAATGATTATTTTATTTCAGTGAATCAAATACTATCTTAATGCAATTTGTATTCACTATATTGTAAGTAAATAACTAGTTAGGATGCCCATTCCACTCAATATCACATCTATTCTAATGAAGCAAACATTATCTAACATAAATTTAATAAATACTTTTCTAAAGAAAAAACATAAATTTAATAAAGGGTGAAACACTAATCAATCTCAAAATGTGATCTTGTGAATTGTTTAATTCTTCAAATTTTTTTTTTATGAACTCAAAGGTCCCATTAAGATGAAAATTATCAAAAGATAGTCATTTACACAATTGGGTTCAATTTTGAAGGATAAAAATGGGTTTCTCTAAATATAAAATTATAAATTTGGTTAATTCGCACTATAGAAGTTTTAGATTTTTTCTCATTTTGAAACAAATTTCACATTATGAACAAGAACTTAATACTCTAATATAACACTTCAATATAACACACACACAAAAAAAAAAAAAAAAAAACTTATTAGTGTACTTTTTCTAAACGTAACAATTTAACAATTTAAAAAAACTCCTTAGTGTACTTTTCACAAACGTAACACTTCAATGTAACACATAAAAAAATTCCTTAGTGTACTTTTTCCAAACGTAACACTCCAATCAATGTAATCTCAAATATAACATTTCAATATTACATACACAAAAATACTAATTATTTATGAAATATTTTTGTATTTTAATAAACATATTCATTTGAGATTTAATTTATTAAATTCTAATTCTCATATTTGAAATAGAATTACCCCTACTTTGTGTGGGGGGAGCATTTCAGTTAACCCCTCTACCAATTTATGAGCAGTGGTGGACACAAAAATTATATCTAAGGGGTTAACTTATATAATTTCAAAAATTGATAGTAAAATTCTAATGAAATTCTACTTAAGTTGTTAAACTATATAATCTCAAAAATTGATAACAAATTCTAGTTAGTTGTCGTTTGGCAATAGACTTTTTAGTTGATTTTTTGACAATTTTAGCTTAGCATTAAAAGTTTGTTTGATTTGATTTTTTTTGACTTTTGTGAGAGAAAAATAAAATGATTATAGTTTGGATACGGCATTTTATCTTATTAATTTATTTAGCCTATTTTATGCTTTATACTTTTTTAGCCAAAAAATTGATTGTCAAACAAAGCCTTATTATCCGTAATCAATTATGTTATAAATAATTTTTTCTATAAAAAAAATGATAGCCGGTGAAGATTAGATATGGCAGTCTTCGATTTATTGGAATGAAAGTAAAATAAAATTATCATTATATTAAAATATCTATTTTCATATTTACTTCTTACATTTGATTAATTGGAATGAGAAGAAATGAAATGATTATTTCTGTTATGAAAGTAGAGAGACTGTATATTGAATTGTATTGAATGAATTACAAGAAGCTTGTATTTATACGCTGAGAAGAAACCTATATAAGTGTAGAGAAGAAGATAGAGATATATTAGAGATAGGTATAGAAAAGGAGATGAGATTCATCTACAATACATATAGATAAATATAGAATAATAATACATATATTTAACACCCCCCCTCAAGCTCAAGGTGGTAAGTCAGATATCAACTTGAGCTTGGAGAGGAGATTAGAGAAGCGTCCTGGAAGATGAGCTTTGGTGAAGAGGTCGGCAGTCTGATCAGCAGAGGTAACAAAGAGAAGACGAACATGGTCACTAGTAACATGTTGTCGTATGAAGTGGCAATCGATCTCAATATGCTTGGTGCGATCATGGAAGACATCGTTATGTGCAATCTAAATAGCACTTTGATTGTCACAATAAAGATTGGTGGCAGCAGAATGAGAAACACCCATATCAGGAAGAAGCTAACGAAGCCACACAACCTCCTGAGTAGTGTTAGCAAGAGCATGATACTCAGCCTCGGTACTAGAACGAGCAACAAGGGTTTGCTTCTTACTATGCCAGGAAATAAGAGAGTTGCCTAAGAAGAAGCAGAACCCAGTAGTAGAACAACGATCAGTAGGATCCCTTGTCTAATCAGCATCAAAAAAGGCATGCAGCTGTAGAGAAGAGTGATGAGAGTAGTGAAGACCATGAAACAGAGTTCCTTTGAGATAGCGCAAAATGCGAACCAGAGTAGCATAGTGTGGAGAGCGAAGAGCAGTCATAAATTGATTGACAATGTGAACAACATAAGCAATATTTGGACGAGTAACTGTAAGATAGACAAGACTACCAACTAGCTGACGATATAAAGTGGCATCAGTTAATAGGGGGCCGTCAAGAGGTGTAAGACAAGTCTGAGGATCAACTGAAGTAGTGACAGTCTTGCAATCGGTAAGGCTAACACGAGCCAAGAGATCAAAAGTATACTTGGCCTGGGTAAGAAAATAACTAGAGGAATCTTGAGAAATTTTCAAGCTAAGGAAATAGCTAAATAAACCCAAATCTTTCATCTCCAACTGGCGATGGAGAAACTGTTTGAGACTAGAAATACTCACTGTGTCATCTCCAGTGATAATCATATCATCCACATAGAGGAGAAGGAGAATAGTACCGTGCTTCGTTTTACGGATAAACAAGGCAGAATCATGGGCATTGGAAGAAAAACCAAAGTTACGAATGGTAGAGCTGAACTTGGCAAACTAGGCACGCGGAACTTGTTTCAAACCATACAAAGCTCGGCGGAGTTTCCAAACCTTGTTTGATGGAACAGAAGAACCAAGAGGGGGTTGCATATAAGCTTCCTTAGTGAAATCACCATTGAGAAATGCATTCTTGACATCCATTTGACAAAGACTCTAATGTCGAGCAACAGCAACGGTAAGTAAGCTGCGAATTGAAGTAAGACAGGCAACAGGAGCAAATGTTTCCTCATAGTCAATCCCATATTCTTGACTAAATCCTCGGGCGACAAGGCGAGCCTTGTAACGCTCAATGCAACCATCAGAATGAGTTTTGATCTTGTAAACCCATTTGCAACTAACAATACGCTTTCCAGAAAGAAGATCAACCACATCCCGGGTATGAGTTTGATCGAAATCTTGCAGTTCATCAGTCATAGCTTGTTACCAAAGAGGGTTAGAAGAAGCTTTTCGATAAGAAGTAGCTTCGCGATAAGAAAGTAGGTTTATGAGAGCAAAAGGCAATGGAACCAACAATATAATCACGGAGAAGAACAGAAGGTTGCCTTACCTGTGTAGAATGACGCTCAGGTGGAAGAGGAACCTCAATGGAAGTAGGTTCCGGAAGAACCTCCAGCAGATCTGGAGAAGGCGTAGGGCCATCGGCAGACACAAGGATCCTCAGGATAGACGATAGGCGTAGGCAACTGTGGAAGCATGGCGCCAGAATCTGCATCAAAGTCATTAGAAAACAGATCTATTCCATAGAAATATCGGTAAAGGCTGGTGAGTAAGTGGACTATGGTAGGTAAAACTAGAAAAGAGTGGAGAACATTTTGTGTTCCCAGAAGACCACATGACGGGAAATACGAAGACGCTTGGAGATAGGATCCCAACAACGATACCCTTTATGTTCTATACAATACCCCAGAAAACAACAAAAACGAGAACGAGGTTCTAGTTTAGTGTGTTCATGAGGCTGAAGAAGAACAAAACAAGCAGAATAAAAAATTTAAGACTGGTATAATCAGGAGGAAAACCATACTAGCGCTCGTAAGGAGAAGTGTTAGCTATTACATGGGTAAGGACTTGATTGATGGTGTGGATGGCAGTGTGGGCAACTTCCCTCCAAAATTGTTCAGGACAAGAAGAAGAGATGAGAAGAGCCTGAGTAGTGTCTAGAATATGACGATGCTTTTTTTCGGCTCGTCCATTTTGTTGGGAAGTGCCTGCACAAGATCGATGAGAGAGAGTACTATGAGCCTGAAGAAAAGAAAGAAAATCTGAATCCAAGTACACCTTAACATTATCAGAACGAAAAAACTTAATAGTACGAGAAAACTGAGTGCAGACCATAACAGAGAAATCATAGTAAATCTGTTTAAGTTCAGAACGATTTTTTAGAAGAAAAAACCAAATATAACGAGAAAAATCATCAACAAAAATCACAAAATATCTGGACCCTCCCATGGTAGGTGTGGGTGAAGGGCCCCAAATATCTGAATGCACAAGATCAAAAGGAGCAATAGAAATAAAATTACTTTTATTAAAAGGTAAGGCAGGTTGTTTAGTAGTTTGACAAGATAAACAATCGACATCTTCAAGACGGACACGACTTAACTGACCACTAGAAACTAAAATTTTCAAATGACTAAAAGAGACATGTCCTAAGCGACAATACCAAAGATGAAAAGAAGACATAGTAGATGCAGCAGCAACCGTAGATGATTTGTGTGGACTGCGAAGATGGAGAAGTTCGAACAGACATCCATGCTTACAGCCTATCCCAAGGACCTGTCTCGTCTGAGGGTCCTGCACCAAACAACCATTAGCAGAGAAGGAAATAGTTAGACCAAGTTCACATAACTGACCAACAGAGACAAGGTTCATTTTAAGAGAAGGAATATGGTAAGCATCAGAAAGAGACACAGTGGAAGTAGAGATTTGGCTAATATGACTAACAGGCTTATGAGAACCATCAGTAGTGTGTATAGTGGGAGCAGAAGAGGATGATGACAGAGAAGAAAATAAAGTGGAGTCAGAAGTCATGTGATTACAGCATGCTGAATCAAAATACCAAGAAGAGTTACTTGAGGTTACTGAAAGAGCAGTAGAGGGAGGAGTACCAGATTTGTTGAGAACCTGGTGGATAATGGACTCAACATCATCCATAGAGAAGGAAGGAGCAGAATAACCCTCAGAGGCAACAGCAACAGAACGAGAACCGTGGCCAGATTTAGATTGAGACCCAAAACGAGAAGCCCCTTTCTTAGATGAAGTAGTGGAGGGAGCTCGAGGACAATTGCTTTGGAGATGGCCTGGAGCAGTCTTATGACAAGTCAAGCATTCGCGAACCTGGCAGTGAATAAGAGAATGATTAGTTGGCAGGCCTTGGTTGCGATAATAATTGCATAAGATTGGCTGTGAAGATGAGGAACTCTGAGAAGATGGTGTAGCAAGAACATAATCCATGTCTTGAGATCGAAGACTTCCAAAGTCTCATCTGATAGGAGCTTAATAATGGCTTGCTCTAAAGTGGGCAAGGGCAAACGATGGAGCAAAGAAGCACACACAAGCTCAAAAGTGCTATGAAGAGCCATAAGAAACTGTAATAGTCGCTGATGATTCCGATAAGTAATAAATAGTTGTGCATCATCAAAATGAGCCCATGGAGGTTCAGAAAGAGTGAGCTGGTCCCAAACATACGACATTTGGGATAGGAAATCATTGAGAGACTGACCGAGTGCCTGGCGCATATGATGAAGAGTCTACAACAGTTGATACTGATGAGCATGTCCAATGGTCTGATAACGTTCCTTCAAGAAATTCCAAATTGCTTTGGCAAGAGAGCCAAGGGAGTCATCATCCTGAAAGCGTCCAAATTGAAGGTTGATAGAAGGAATTGAGGTAGCCCCGAACCATGTGATAATTTGATAATTCTTACTTTCCCATTCGTTAAGACGGTCATCGAATGCAGAGTCCGTCTCATCCTCCTTCTGGGTGTGTTTGGGAAGAGCACCAGTAATGATCCGCCAAAGGCGTTTGGCTTTGATGAAACTCGAGAGAGATTGAGCCCAACTAACATAATTGGACCCATCAAGGATAACACAAACAGATTGGATGTTTTCTGTATGATCCATAAATGCCAAAACGGAGGTCACCAACAGATTTAGAAGGCTGAAAAATCTTAGGGACAAGTAGGGCTGATGTCAGCACTGTAATTGTGATGATGTCAGCAGCGAGGCAGTGGCGGAGTAGGGTTGACATCAGCGGCTGAGGAGGGCTGATGTCAGCGGCTGAGGAATAAGGGAAACGACTAAGAGAAGCCGACCGGAAGCCAAGAGGAGGCGGCTGATGTAGAAGCCGAGTTTGGTTGATGTGGAAGCCGACGTTTGATTAGCTGAGATGCAGGGGCGGAAACCGACGGCGGCTGAGGCGGAAGCCAATGGGCAAGCTGAGATCGGGTCAACTGAGGCGCTGGTGCCGAAGGATGGCTGTTGCAGAAGCCGACGAGCAAGCCGAGGGAAGCTGGCTGAGACGATGTGTGTGGGAGCGTGCTGAGAGTAGATGCGTCGTCAACCGACGTGCTAGGATTTGGAAGGCGCTTGAGGGCGTGCGCGCTTTTCGATGGAGGTGAATTTGGTGGCGGTGGCTTCGTCATGAAAAGACGAAGAGGTAGATGTAGTCCAAACGTTGAAAGAAGAATGGACGAGATACGCAGAAACCAGTAAAACCGGACAGAGGACAAAAACAATCTGCTAGAAAAAAAAAACGGGAGGACAGAAAAAAATGCTATGAGAGAAGGAGATGATTTGTGTAGACTGCGAAGATGGATAAGTTCGAACAGACGTCCATGCTTACGGCCTATCCCAAGGATCTGTCTCGTCTGAGGGTCCTGC